CTGCCGCTCTCCACGCCGGGCGCCGCCTTCACATGTCACCTTTGGGAGGAGGAGGAAGAGGAGCACGTCTGAGCACCCTTTGGGTTTACATCTAACTCCCCGCGCCAAGGGCACCCGGGCGTTTCGCAAGCGCTCACGGCCAGACCGCCGCCGCGTCCGAGCCGGGACGGAGCCACGGCCACGTGGAAACATGCCACGCTTGCCTGGGACCAGAAGAGTTTCAGGCAAAACAGAGCATGGCCAAGAGACCAAGAGGGACTAATTAACCCTTGCAAGGGGGAGTAATTAACCCTTGCAAGCTGCCCACAGACAGCCCCAAACGTGGGTGAGACGCTGGGCTGGTCACGCCAGCAGCGAGGCAGGCACGGCTCGGGACTGCTTCCCTACTGTTTCTCCATCACCTGCAACGCCCAGGTACCAGCAAGGACATCAAAACACAGACATTTAGCAAGCCAGCCTGAACGACGGCACCCAAAAACCACGCGAATGGCATCAAGGTGGCCCAGACAGAGCCTGGATGGAGGTGACAGCAGCTCATCCCTCCCGTACTCGCCGGAGGAGCGATTCTGCTGCCGAACCCGGCTGGGACAGACCCTTCGGAGGTGCCCGGGCGCTTGCCCCGATGGCACAGAGCTGCCTGGGAAGCCGGGAAGGAAGGGTGCTGGTTCTCCACCAGGTTTCCAGTCGCTCCATTCAGAGGCAGACGAACCCCAGGATCTCATGGGGTCATGGATGGCAGGGCGGCTCTGCTGCAGCGGGCTTTGGTGGGAGAGAGAAAAACCAGTGCGCTACGGAAAACGCCAGCAAAACCAGAGCTGAGGAGGCAGCGGCAGCTTCGCTGGGGTCATCTGCAACCACAGGGCGTCTGCAGGCAACAAGGGACCTTTGGCTTCTGACTTTTGGCTTCCTGCCCTGTTCTTCGGAGGCGTCTGCTGAAACCAGGCTGTGCCTGGAGGCTCTGCGAGCGAAGTGCGCGGCTGTCAGCGAGGTGCCCGTCGCACGGCTGCAGCATCCCAGCTCAGATGCACTGTGCCCTGGCGCTGAAAAGGGTCCGAGAGCTGCTCCAGCACCAGCTATGGCTGTAAAGCTTTCTCAGGATGCCAGAGGCTGGAGAAGAAATTTATTCCCTTCAGTTGGAAGCACTTGCCATCCAGGTGGAGAAGGACAGAGCCCAGCAGGTGGCCCAAATCCAGAGCAGCCCAAATCTGGAGCAGCCCGAATCCAGAGCATCCTAGACGTGGAGCAGCCCAAATCCAGAGCATCCCAGATGTGCAGTAGCTCAAATACGGAGCATCCCAGATCCAGAGCAGCCCAGACCTGGAGCAGCCCGAACCCAGAGCACCCCAGACCCTAAGCAGCCTGAATCCAGAGCATCCCAGACATGGAGCAGCCTGAATCCAGAGCATCCCAGACCTGGAGCAGCCCAAATCCAGAGCATCCCAGACCCTGAGCAGCCCAAATCCAGAGCATCCCAGACCTGGAGCAGCCTGAATTCAGAGCATCCCAGACCCTGAGCAGCCCAAATCCAGAGCATCCCAGATGCAGAGCAGCCTGAATTCAGAGCATCCCAGACCTGGAGCAGCCTGAATTCAGAGCATCCCAGACCCTGAGCAGCCCGAATCCAGAGCATCCCAGACCTGGAGCACCCTGTGCACACACACGAATCCTGCTCACAGCAGCAGGTGGAGAGCTCTTGGGGGACAAACCCCAGACCGATTCTCGGTGTTTCCAGAGTTCACGGACAGTTTTGCAGAAAAGGAAACTGTTTTCGCCATGACTTGTCACAAGATTTCCTCTCCTTGGGTTGCAACACAGAAACGGGGAGCGCAGTGATTGCAGGAACGTTAACCTCTGGCTCAGAGGCTCGAGGTGCTGCTGGGGGTTTTTGGGGGGAGTGAGGGGACATCAAGGTGACAGCAGTGGTCGACAGGACCACAGAGAGTCATGCCCACCTCTGCCCTCCACACAGGAGGTTCAGGCAGCATCGGGCTCCTCGGGGCCGGCCAGATTCTGCCCCTTTCCCTGTCACCTCCTGCGAACACCACGCAAACAAGCAACGCATCCCACCCAAGACAAATCCAAGGTGCAAGAGCTGGTGGCAGAGACCCAAGGGTGGGAGAAGCAAACCATGGGGCACAGGGTGGCATTTCTCATGCCTGGAGAGGCAGCGTGGGTGTTTCAGTGCCAGGACTGCACCCAGTGTCCGTGCTCTCGGTGTCGGTCCCCAGCCAGTGGCAGGGGAGGAGGTGACAGCAGTGTTTCCGCAAAGACCTTGTCCAGATTTTCCTAAGTCAGTGGTATTTCCCCCAAAACACACGCTCCTTCGCCAGCATCACCTCCCGCAGCGTCTGTAGGTGAGATGTCGAGGAGCACACGGGACTCTCCACTCCCACCACGACCAGTCCAACCAGTTTGTCCCAGTGCTGTGAATCCACACGGCATCGCTTCTGTTGGGACAGCATTTTCCTGAATAACGAGTGCAACGAACCAGCTCTGAGGCGGGTTTCACCTAACACGAGTCTTCGGTGAGATGGGGAAATGGGCAGCCCTGGCACTGGGCTAGCCGGCTCTGGAAGGAACCAGAGGGCACTGGAGCACTTCCAGGAGGATCCTGGAAATCCCTGGCTGTTCTTTGTGATCTTGAAAGGATAAGAGACAGGACGGATGGGCAAACGCAGAGACAAGCACATCTACAGCAGAAGAAAAACCACATCGTTTCCCAGCAGTCACCACCCCGGAGGCTACGTTAGCAGAGCACAACAGCTCGAGCAAAATAAAGAAAATAAAACAAGCAAGAAATAAAACCAGGCAGCGAGCTGGCACCGTTAAACCCACCGAGGAGGAGAGGGGCCGGAGCAAGAGCAAAGCTGTTTATTTACCCGACTGCTGCAGACCAGCCAGATTCTTCGGGAAGGGCTCGTTCCAATCCCGCCTTGTGCCAGGAGAAGCAGAGACCCCGTCCCAGAGCTTGGCTCTTCGGTCTCCCAACACGCGCCGCTCCCCCAGTTATAAATAAACAGCAGGTCACCGCTCACGACTGGAAAACAACAGCCCGACACCACGGCGTGAAGCGGTGACTCAAGGCCGGGACGCGGAGCCAGTCATTTTCCAAGCACGAGTGCCGTGCCAGTCACCCTCCGCCCCTGGGAAAGGCCTTTGATGGGACGATGGGGCCGAGGGCCGGCGTTGGCACAGCCCTCTCCTCCTACACAGCTTCTGCCTTGCACCCAGCGCCCATGCACACCCGGCCACGCTTAGAACACGAGCTGATCC